CCTGGAATTACTTCAGCTAAGGAATTATAACAGGTGGCATTTTTTTTTTTTAGATAAGAGCCTCACTCTGTCACCCTGGGTAGAATGCCGTGGTAGCATCATCACAGCTCACAGTAACCTCAAACTCTTGGGCTCAAGTGATCCTCCTGCCTCAGCCTTTCGAGTAGCTGGGACTATAGGCATCTGCCACAATGTCCTGCTAAGTTTTTTTTTAAGTTTTGCATTTTTAGTAGAGTTGGGGACTCACTCTTACTCAGGCTGGTCTTGAACTCCCAAGCTCAAGCAATCCAGCTGGCTTCCTAGAGTGCTGGGATTACAGGTGTGAGCCACTGTACCTGGTCCCCGTAGCAATTCTTTTTTAGTGGTGTGAAGAATCCCATAGAACAGTCCCTAATACGAAGTGAAGAGAGCAACGGGGTTTATCACCCTGTCCTCTCACAAGGGGATCCTAGTATCGAGCAGAGACATCCTTTTCACAGCCCAGCAAGTCAATGGAAGAAGAGCTGGGAGACAAGGAGCCCTATTCAATCAGTAATACATCTTTATTCAGCTCATGAGACTCATCAGTCTAACTCAGTGATTTAAAAAAGTACAATAACATGGACTTTATCTGCATTTGCATGGGAAATGTTTTCTGTCTTTGCTCTTTAACACTGACATTTCAGAGATCATTCTGGGGGTCTTAATGGTTTGAATTACAAGATCCACTGAGAAGTCCTCATTTTATAAAGCGAAAGAGAGCAAACAGGCAATTTTGGGTAAATAGATTAAAAACTCAACAACAAAAGGAAGTGTTAATATTTTAAGCATTAAATACTGGTACAGAGGTCTGAACTAACTCAGAGCATGAGAGGGCATTCATATGACATTCTTTTAGTGAAACCTTGGCAAGGTTCTCCGAGATTCTCCTCTAAATATCTGCCTGTCTCTACCTCTGATTTATTCTTCCATTTCTTCACTCAGCAAATAGCTTCAGGGGGGTTCTCCATGCACTGCAATGTTCCAGGGGTTGTGGGAGCCACAAAGGTAATTAAAGTTTTAATTTCATGAGATATTTTCCCCATTTCTTTGTACTTATGGCAATACCGTGACATGCTAATGGTATGCTGAAGTTTGTGCTAAGGAAAAAGAAAAATCAAAATCAAATCAAAGCATGGAAGGTAAGTAATTCGAGCTAATTCTCTCTAAAAATATCTTTGGAAGACACTATGACAAGTATATTTTTATCCACAGGCAAATTTACTGATTCCAGATTCTTCTTCCATCTGTTTCTATCCTATAAAAGCTCTGAACTCAAAGCTTTTTAAGACATGGGGCTGAGCTGGAGAGCTGGCCACAAACAAATGGTAATTTAGGCTGATAAGCTTAATTTCTCTTAGATGATTACAGAGTGTGGATCAGAGCTCAAGGGACTGCTGTCATGCAAGTCATAGAAAACAGGTGTTTTTCAGTGGGAAATGGTGTTATTTTCCACAATCTCCTTGTGGTTTGGGTAACACTCTGGATTTTGTCAAACTTGTCACATCTCTTCTTTATGAACTGACCAAGTGCCCTCGTAAGGGCCAAATTAGACACATAGCACTATAAAAAAAGAAGGGAAATACTATAGACATGTACTGATATCCTGGGAGCCTGCCAGTTCATGGGTAACTACAGAAACAAAGGCAGTGTGACAGGAATTCAAAGGCTCCCGCTGTCCCTATTAGGATGTTCAGGTCCCGCCACATGCCTGGGTCGGGAGACAATAAGCAGAAACTCTGCTGCCGGGGCTCAGATGAGCAGCCGTGGGGGCTGAGTTTGCCATTAACAGCTCCAACTTACACAGGCAAAATGGGCTTCTTGGTCAGAACAGAGACGGCCCTTTCAGAGGGACTCCTGACAAATGACACTCCCTGTCCCTTTCTTTTTGTGCACTTACTTTTGAATGTGTTTTCAAGTTTCTGACCCTTAGAAGAGGTGAGCCCCTTGTTCTTTCCCAGCCAGATTCCGAGAATGTATGTAAAGAAAAAAGCGATCATTTGTTATTTTGGCATGATGATTCTGAATTATGGGTTAAAAGCTCTATTTTAACACACTGTTTTGCAAAATACATGCAGGTTTCATAGACTTTTTTTAGTCATATCTTTGTTGCAGATATTTAGTGAAAAAAACAGTAAAAACACTGCTTTTTAAACAATATTTCTGCTAATTTTATTAGAAAAGTTATTTTTCAGACATTGGTTAAACCATTATATTCTTTAAAAATATACTTTTATTTTATTAATTATTCTTTAAAAATAGGTATCTTAATTTAATTAAAAATTTATAACCCTCACAAATTTTAAGGTTTTATTTGGTAAAAAATTTTAATAATGCTTTTTGAAATAGTTGCCTTTACTATAATTTATCTAGCTATAAGATTTAATAGATGTACTTTAAATATGATGCGTAATGAGTTAGTATTAGTGAAAATATGATTGTGATGTATTTTGATTAATTAAAAAATTTCATTCTTGGGTGGCACCTGTGGCTGAAAGGAGTAGGGCGCCAGCCTATATGCTGGAGGTGGTGGGTTCAAACCCAGCCCCGGCCAAAAAACTGCAAGAAAAAATTTTTTTCATTCTTTTTTTGGTAGGGGGTAAGACAGGGTTTCATTCTGTTGCTCGGGCTGGAGTGCAGTGGTGTAATCACCACTCATTATAACTTCTAATTCCTGGGCTCAAGTGATCCTCCTGCTTTAGCCTCCTGAGTAGCTGGGACTACAGGTGCCTGCCACCACACCTGGCTATTTTTAAAACATTTCTGTTGTGATTTAAACATTTTCTGTTGCCCAGATAGGTCCTGAACTCCTAGGCGCAAGTAATCTTCCTGCCTCAGTTTCTCAAAGTGCTGATTTACAGGGATGTACCACTATGCCCGGCAGAACTTTTCTTCCTTTAAAACAATGATTTCTCATTATAGTCACAAGATTGCACTAGCTTGCCAACCCTCCTCCTACTTTTAGTTGCTCCACTGATTCCTGACTAAGCCTGAAATTCTTGGATGGCATTTATCACTAGAGAAAAATGTCTTCTTTGCAATATGACCTTTCTTACAAAGTAAAAAATCCAAATTTGCTTATCCTATCCCCCATCAAGTCCGCCAATGGAGTTTCTCTAACTCTGCAGACTTGACCAAAATTCAATTGTAGGCCTTATTAAACCACTGTATATACTGTTGGTAATTCATGTGTTAGAGTAACCTACAGGAGGAACTTCTCTGCAGTGTCAGCTCCTGGAACAAATAAAGACACATTCAAAAGTGGCCTATAGAGCAGGGCTTGAGTCCTAGACTGTACTGAAAACTTATTTCTCTACTTCCCCTCCTGCTTTCAACTAAAGCCATACCAATGCCACCATCACTTCCTGAAGGTCTGATGATCAGAGTGGCTCTCCTGCCCAGTCTCATCTGATAGTAGCATTTTTTTCTCTGTGCTTTTATTGCTTCATTGGCAATCTAGCCTGCTATCACTTTGAAAACAGTGCAAAGGAAGTGTTTCCCATTAACTTGCAATTTATTCCTTTCCATTGTGATCCTGATATGAGCAAAAGGAATGCTAAGAGGAGGATGTTAACGTAATTCAATTGAAAAGGTTTGTTCCTCTGTCAAAATCATGCTGCTGGGTAACATTCATTTCATTAAAAGTGAATCTGTCAAAAAAAAAAAA